GCTGAGGCGTCCTTGTCCGAACCTCCGGCCTTTTCCTCACTCTGTCCATCGCGCGTTTTCATTTCAGCTTGGCTCTCACCATGCTCTCTGTCTTTGCTCTCGTGCTGTCTGTCCTGTATGCTCCGCTCTGTCAAACACGTTTCCACAATTTGCACGCGACCCTCCGCGTGGCGAAATTCAAACTTTCAACTTTTCAAACACAACAGACTTTCTGCGATACAACTATGTCATGCGTCAAATGTGTCGGGTCATGACAAGCACAGTCGATGATAACGTGATTGGTCACCATGTGAACTTAATGCAATACGTTTATACGTTGAACAAACAACCTTACAATTATTTACCCTTGAAGGAGTTGTCGGTAGAGAAGGGCTGTTAGGGAGACGTGCTTGGGAGATGTATACCATTAATTTTGTAATTTTGTGGACGCCGGAATAAAGGTCACCGATATATATACATGTGTAGTAAGTTAAATCGACGACCGCCGAATATGAAGTCCCACGGCCGGACAATATCAGGCTTTTAATACCATAAAATACGGGACGTTTGTTTGTTCCTAAGACCGAGAGGTGTCTGGCCAATGTAATTCAGTGGAAGCAATTCAATGAGGATTATGTTGAACGAAATGGACATATCTTCTGTGGACAGGTGTCTTAGTTAGTTCAGTTAGTCTAAGGTTGGAGAGGTGGTACCTGTTCTCGGTTTCTCGACAGTTTTTCCTGGAGTCCCTGGTTCTGACACATCTGGACGTGTTCCGACAACCCCTGACCCGATGTTCTGTGTCTCTTCGTCGAACCACTCTTCCTCTGTTGACAACCACCGGTAGATAAGTCTCTCTATTACACGACACAAAATTTACCTCATTGTGTTTTACTCGTAGTGCTGGAGCAGACTCCGAGGTGTGTTATAGACCGGGCACCGCCTATATACTACTAGTCGCTCTTTCCACTCCCTAGTCGGTTCTTGATGTGCCCTATCCTTCGACAAATTACTTAGGTTCTTCCGCTGTGTGATGTGTCGATGTGTATATCTAACTAGTTTAGGACGTCGCGCTGACTTCCGGGGACGAGTTCTTTCCTTGTAATCTCCGGCAGACTTCAAACGAGGCGGACACAGGAGCGGGCTACTAACCTCTTCCGAACCCCTCTTCTACTACTCCAGTCTAATCTGGTTGTAGCTCGTCTAGAACCATAGTTGAGCTGTGGCGGCACACCTCCTTCTTCCTACGACTGATAATGCTTGGGTCTTGTGGTAAGGGTGGTAGTCGGCTACCTCCACCTTGTAAAAAGAACCCCACAAAGAGGACGATTCCCCTGTCATGGTGAAGGGACGTAGCTCCTCTCCTACCTGCCGGTACATGGGGATTTTAGAACCGGCTATCAGTGGAAGGGAGTCGGTCCTATGACCAGTACGGCGTGACCCAGCAAGGTCGTCCTGGTGTGACTGGGACTTGTTACGCCGGCTTCCGTTGTGTCCTGCAGATTTCTGTCTTTCGCTGTAAGTCCACTCCCTTCCCGGATCGGCTTAGAGGTCTTGGAATTAGGGTATCTTTTATACACGCTCCTCGACTTCGAAGGTCTCCGGGTTCGTAGCGGAGGTTTTGGACTTCGCTAAACCTCTCCCAGAAGTTTCATCCTACCTTGGCTGTTAGGAAGGACTCTGACAAGTGTCTGACCCTGGATGATGTTCTTCGTCTAGTTTTTTTTTTCGAGACTGGAGACCACACAGTTGTTCCCCAAAGAGGGGTTCAATGATTGCGTACCCAACGTCCCCTCCCTTATGAATAAAGTGTGTCAATTTAACGTTTAGATAAAAATAGAAAGTATATTACAGTTAAAGACCTAAAAGAAAAATTGATAAGAAATGAGAGTGACAAATATATTGGATGGTAATGTTAATATCTGACAATTAAATAAACATTCACCCGTTTAAATGATTTAGATGTCCCCGAGTTTATGAATAAAGGAAGTGACATCTAAATAATCTGTCAAACCCAGGATACATTGTGATCACGTAAAACGCGAAAATTTATTTTGGACTAATTAACATAAGAAACAGAAGTCGATAGAACCTAATTTCACAACACATAATACATAATTGAAGTACCAATGTACTTCATTTCACTCAGAAACCTCACCTCTGAGGTTAAATCTATAATGTTTGTATATATGGTATGTACGTGAAATTGAAGAAGGACGTCCATTTGCGTTCACTGTACCAGAAACAAGTGTAGGTTTCACGACCTCCTCGCTCGCCCTCTTTCTCTTCCTCTTCTCCTACCTCTTCTGTACTCTTCCTTCCACCTCTGCGACTGACCTCTAGTCCACATACTGACCTCGCGGCCCGACCTCCCTCCCGCCTGCCTGAGGGTCGAGATGGAAAAGAGGACTGGTTCCTTTGTTCATGCCACAAACGTCGCGGTAGCTTGCCACCCCGAAGTACTCCGCCAGGTTAGATGTGTCCCCACCACCGGAAGTCGCACTCCGACAGGTACTGAGTCCCACCCGAAGTCCACTCCGCCCAGGTACAAGTCCCACCCCGAAGTCCCACTCCGACAGGTACTGAGTCCCCACCCGCGAAGTACTCCGACGAGGTACCTAGTCCCACCCAAGTACACTCGCAGGGTACTGAGTCCCACCTCCCCACACCTACGTATCCCTGAGTCTATGGACATAGGATTATTCAAAGTGGGCCAAAGAACTTAACTTAGGCGGAATAGACACTCGTCCTAGAAAGAAACATTCATTTGTGTTTTGGAATCAACGGTACAATTAAAACCTGGGTCTTCCACGTAAATAAATTTTTTTTTATATTTTCAGGCGTCGAATAATTGTCATACTATGAAACTAAAAACCAAGCATAACAGAACTGTTGCATAGGTAATGATACAAACTCCCCTCTCAAGAGGATAATACAATACATTGTAAGTTTGTATTGTATAAACGGATTGTATCAAACCTCTAAACGAACTACGGGTTATGCATAAAAGGTGTTATGCAATACAGACCGAAATGTGCGAATCCGTCCCTGAGTCAACCAGTTCCTTATTTCCCGATAATAGTTCTAATGAAAGAAGGTTTAACAATTGTGACGGACAGTGGGGGGCGCGGACCGGCCATAGAGCCCATAGAGTTAAAGGTGGTGGACTGTAACCTGTAAAATCCATAGATTTAGGAGGTCCCCTAGTGGCCATTAGCTGTAAAAATCCATAGATTAGCCGCACCGTTATATAAGCCGCAGGGTCGAAAAATGGGAAAAAAGGCGCAGCTTATAGTCCGAAAATTACGGTACTTATTTCCCACAGTTAAATGCAAATACATTTTTATATTTTATATAATGTCAATTTCTGGATTTTCTTTTTGATATTCTCACTCTCACTGTTTATATAAACCTACCATTAAAATGATAGACTGTTCCTTTATTTGTAAGTGGGCAAACTTACAAAATCTGCAGTGGATGAAATACTTATTTCTTCCACTGTATATACTGAGAAAGATAGTGAGAATTGGGAGAGCTGCACACCTGTTCCAGGATCTTCTGCAGGTGGATGAAAGCTTCCTGAGAGGAGAGCTTCAGCTCCAGGATGAGGCGGTCGATCTTATTGATGACCAGAACGGGCCTGATGTTCTCCAGCCAGGCCTGACGCAGCACCACCTGGGTCTAAACACAATACACACAAGAGACATTACATCTAACTGTGCAGTGGCCTACAGTATATACATTAGTATCACATCTCCTTTAACTATTTAAAAGAAAGCACAATAATAAAGACATGTGAAATAAAGTATTACCTGTAGCTGAAATGTTATTTTAGAAAAAATCAAAGACATCAATCAGTTTTAAGTAAATTTTTGGAACTCTATTACACAGACAGTAAAGATGCTGTTTGGGCAAATTTGAACTGAAATGATCAAGATGCAGGTAAAGTAAATGGGATAAAGCTAAATCCAAATGTTTTGCCATTTCAGCAGCTTTTGGAGGACCTTCTTCTGTCTCTGGACTTCTGCCCAGCCCTACTTAAAGTAGATTCCAAACTACAATATTAGCCTGTACAGTACAGTTTAAAAAGAATAAATAAAATCTGATCCATTTTAGAAACGTAACAGTAATCTGATTCCTTCTTATAATTATTTATTTAATGCGTTACTCCTCAAGTCTGTCCATAATAACCTTTCAGCAAATTCTAATTCAAGTGGTAACCCGGGGTAGAGCAGTTTTATGGAACATATAAAGCTATCTAAATCTTGAAAACAAAGCTGCAGAAGTTTTCCTCAAAACACCTGAGTTACATGCTGAACATTTTTCATGGATCTTTTGTAAATGTCAACCTTTGTGGTTAGATAATGTTGTTCACAACTGACTTGCTGAAAACATTATTGAAGTCCAATGCATCTGGTCCCATGACAGTGGAGGGCCTCCACTGCTCATCCAAAGTTCATGTAAAGATGCTCAAATCAATATTTGGATAGATAGTGACTTGTACCTGTGGACACACTCCCTCCACAGCATCCACCACCACGATGGCCCCGTCACACAGCCGGACAGCAGTGGACACTTCTGAGGAGAAGTCCACGTGACCAGGAGAGTCGATCAGGTTCAGCAAGTAGTCCTGATCTCCTGAGGAGGCAAACGTCACAGAAACACTGATGACAGCCTTCTCCTATCAGCTTCTCATTCACAGTAATATCAAACTCTATAACACCAATAACACTGGAGTCAAAAGGCAACTCTATTTTTTTTTTATAATAAACGTTTTCTTTGCAATTCTTCTTACTATATAAACTCTTCCAACAATAATTAGTAGGGACTAATGCTAATTATTGAGAAACACTAGTATGATGGTGATATGAGTCTTGTTGCTGCAGACACTATATGTTTGAAACATTCATTATTTTTACATTAAATTGAGCATAATAAAAGCCAGTCAACCACCCTGGATCTTATTGAATGCTGATATATACAGTATGCACACTATCAAATATAGGGTTTACACTCAATTTGCCATCAGTTAGATGTAATGAATACTTGGATATTGAAAGCACATTCCTGTTTTGTTTATGGTATATTTTCCATATTCCTGTGGAAAAAGATAGACAAATGAACATGTCGAATAAAATTCAACTGAAGTTAAAATTGGGCCGGATAACTATTAGGCACACTATTTTTATCAAATAAAAACAAGAATATGCTTCATGAAAGGCAGGTTTTCCTATGAATAAAATCATTTTCGATCCTAAATATCTTGGTTATTTTTTTTCTCTCTTGTATTTATTCGCATTGCATATGATTTTGAGGTAAAAAAAAATGATATTGTGATCTTAGACGAGGTCACCGATTACAGTTGTTACAGGTAACTAGATACTAACAGAGTACCTTTTTAAAGTAACCCTCCCAACCCTGCGTACCGTTTCTGTGGTGCAGAGAGATGGCACTGGACTTCATGGTGATTCCTCTGATCTGTTCATCCTCTCTGCTGTCCAGATACCTCAGCTGACAGAACAACACACCAACCATAAGCTCAAATCATGAAGACAACTTGACTGTGAGAAAGGTCAGCGCAGCTCTTACCTTCCCAGCCAGTCGACTGGATATGATTCCGTTACTCGCCACCAAGCAGTCAGCCAGAGTGGTTTTACCTGCAGAGATCCAGATGGTTCCAAATTATTTCACTACCTTACAGTGTACACTCACTCTGCCTGACGCCGAAGAGCTGGTCCACGCCTTTCTCTCCTCCAGGCTGGACTACTGCAATGCACTCCCCATCGGGATCCCTAACAAAAGCATCCAGAAGCTCCAGTACATTCAGAACAGCGCTGATAGGATCCTGATGAGGGTGCGCAAATATGATCATATCACCCCCATCCTGAAATCACTACACTGGCTCCCCGTGGAACTGAGGATCAAATTCAAGGTTTCCCTCCTCACCCACCAGTGCATCCATGGAACTGCCCCTCCCTACCTCAAGGAACTCCTCACCCCTCGAACTTCCTTGCGGACCTCCCGCTCCAGCAAAGCCAACTTCCTCAAACCCCCCAGGACTAAGCTCCGTACTATGAGAGACCGGGCCTACTGCTCGGCTGCTCCCAGTCTGTGGAACGCTCTCCCTGACCACATAAGAGCACCCCCAGGGGGTCCGCAGAGGTACTGCAGGGGGGTCGCAAAATCTTTGGTTGATTAGACAATAACTGAAAAAAAAAAATTTAAATTTTATTTTCCCACAAATTGAAATGTCTTTAAAGAGCCTTTGACACGGGTTTCCCCCATCATCCAAACCCATCAATTTGAGTAAATATTGTCCCCTTGAAAGCTGTTACTGAACTGATTTTGGATATTTGTACTTTGATAACCATTAATCTGCCCTTCAATGTTGACCATTTTCTGGATCTTCTCGGGGATTCTTCAAGTCCCGCCAAATTATGTGTGACGTCATTGCGGGCCAAGCGCTCCAGCTGCACCGTTCAGGATCCCAGCATCTGCANTGCTACTGATCTTGTATGATCGCCCATATGACAGCACCTAATTCCTAACTCACTCTACGAATACAAATAACCCGATCTTCCAGCGCTCTTATGAGCTACTCAGACACGTTCAAAATTAAACTGTCCCTGATCCTGTCTGAGCTTGCTGCTGTGTGCGCCATCAGTGCGTTTAAATGCAGATGCTGGGATCCCTGACGGGCAGCTGGAGCGCGTTGGCCGCAATGACGTCACACATAATTTGCGGGACGTTGAGAATCCCGAGAAGATCCAGAAAATGGTCAACATTGAAGGGCAGATTAATGGTTATCAAAGTACAAATATCCAAAATCAGTTCAGTAACAGCTTTCAAGGGGACAATATTTACTCAAATTGATGGGTTTGGATGATGGGGGAAACCCGTGTCAAAGGCTCTTTAAAGACATTTCAATTTGTGGGAAAATAAAATTTAAATTTTTTTTTTTCAGTTATAGGCTAATCAACCAAAGATTTTGCGACCCCCTTGAAGTACCTCTGCGGACCGCCTGGGGGTGCTCTTATGTGGTCGGGGAGAGCGTCTCAGCCGAGCAGTAGGCCCGGTCTCTCATAGGTACGGAGCTTGGTCCTGGGGGGTCTGAGGAAGTTGGCTTTGCTGCAGCGGGTGGTCCGCAAGGAGGTTCGAGGGGTGAGGAGTTCCTTGAGGTAGGGAGGGGCAGTTCCATGGATGCACTGGTGGGTGAGGACGGAGACCTTGAAATTCGATCCTCAGTTCCACGGGGAGCCAGTGTAGTGATTTCAGGATGGGGGTGATGATGATCATATTTGCGCACCCTCATCAGGATCCTATCAGCGCTGTTCTGAATGTACTGGAGCTTCTGGATGCTTTTGTTAGGGATCCCGATGGGGAGTGCATTGCAGTAGTCCAGTCTGGAGGAGAGAAAGGCGTGGACTAGCTTTTCGGCGTCAGGGAGAGTGACGGTGTAGACTGTAAGGTAGTTCAATAATTTGGAAGGTCAGATGTGTACAGCCCAGAGTTGGTGACTACTTGAGAGAGGGTAATGTCCTGGCCAGAGAAGGTGATGGGACCGAACCTGGTGTGGGGTCAACTATTTATGTGTTCGGTCTTGGAGCTGTGAGTTTCATGGAAGTGTTTGTCTTCATCCACGCCTGTATCTCCTCCAGGCAGGACAGTGAGTGTGGCGTGAAGGCAGGCTGCAGAGGAGATAGGGTTGATCCTGAGGTAGAGTTGGGTGTCATCAGCGTAACAATGGAATGATACTCCATGTCGGCTGATGATAGAGCCAAGGTGGAGCATGTAGAGTGTGAAAAGGGTGGGGCCGAGAACTGATCCTTGAGGGACACCACAGGTGACGTCGTGGGTACCCAATTCTGCCTCACCCAAGGAGACGTACTCGTTCTCCCGGTGAGGTATGATCATGAACCCAAATCTAAGGGGAGAGTCAGGAGATGTCCTGATGGGAGTGGCAGGATGCCGTGATCATTACGTTTGAAAGCTGCAGTGAGATCGAGTTTTGAGGATGAAAGAGAGAGGGAGACAAGACAGGCCTCATAGCAGTTCGTGTCTGACCCTGGACCAGGGGCAGTTCTGTGCTGGGCCTGAGCGGATACCAGAATTGGAAAACTTTCTCCAATAAAGTTTGTTGGAGTTTTAGATGGTCCTGGAGCTGATGACAGTCAAAGTCTTTTTGTTAGAATTGGGGAGGGTTGGGAAATGGGTCTGTAGATTGACCAGGACTCCGGGTCAAGGGAGGGTTTTTTGAGACAAGTTTTTTGAGTATCGAGGTTTTGAGACGAGGTTTGATTGCACGGTTTAGGCTGAGTGGACATGGTCAGCCTCCTCAGATCTCACGCAGCTTTCAACACCTTGTTGATCAGGCACTCCACCATCGGACCTTCTGACTCGTCCTTGATGGTTCGATCATACCTCACCGGGAGAACAGGGTCTCCTTGGGTGAGGCAGAATTGGGTACCCACGACGTCACCTGTGGTGTCCCTCAAGGATCAGTTCTCGGCCCCACCCTTTTCACACTCTACATGCTCCACCTTGGCTCTATCATCAGCCGACATGGAGTATCATTCCATTGTTACGCTGATGACACCCAACTGTACCTCAGGATCAACCCTATCTCCTCTGCAGCCCTGCCTTCACCCACACTCACTGCCTGCCTGGAGGAGATACAGGCGTGGATGAAGCAAAACTTCCTGAAACTCAACAGCTCCAAGACCGAAGCCATAATAGTTGGCACCCCACACCAGGTTCGGTCATCCACCAAAACCACCATCACCTTCTCTGGCCAGGACATTACCCTCTCCTCAATAGTCACCAACCTGGGTGTGAAAATGAACGCCCATCTGACCTTTGAGGCTCACATTGAACAGCTGTGCAAGAACTCCTTTTATCACCTCAGGAACATCGACAAACTCCGCCCCACAATCTCTCTGACGCCGAAAAGCTAGTCCACGCCTTTTTCTCCTCCACACTGGACTACTGCAATGCACTCCTCATCGGGATCCCTAACAAAAGCATCCAGAAGCTCCAGTACATTCAGAACAGCGCTGCTAGGATCCTGATGAGGGTTTCGCAAATATGATCACATCACCCCCATCCTGAAATCACTACACTGGCTCCCCGTGGAACTGAGGATCGAATTTAAGGTCTCCGTCCTCACCCACCAGTGTATCCATGGAACTGCCCCTCCCTACCTCAAGGAACTCCTCACCCCCCATACCTCCTTGCGGACCACCCGCTGCAGCAACTCCAACCTCCTCAGATCCCCCAGGACCAAGCTCCGTACCATGGGAGACCGGGCCTTCTGCTCGAATGCTATCCCCGACCGCATAAGAGCACCACAGACTGTGGAAGCTTTTAAAAAAGGCCTCAAAACCCATCTATTCAATATAGCCTTTCCCTAGGCCCTTTATTTATTACCACCCTTTTATTTTATTTTATTTTTTGTTTGTTTTGTATGACTTTTTATTCATTCTACCGTGTTGTGTACGTGTTTTATACTGTTCCATACTCACTGCTTGTAGCACTTATGAAGTCAAATATGAAGTGCTTTATAAATGAAACCCATTATTAACCCATTATTACCAGTCAGCAAGCACAGACCGCAGAATCCTACTGCTGCCAGTTAAGAAACATGTAGGTATTTTTACTATATATTTATTGCACGGTTATGAAATCACTGCTACATAACTCATCAAATAAAGTTAATAGTTTGACAATATTTCTCAAAACGTTTGAAATATTATTTTTGTAGTCTAAATTTAGCAGTTAAGGGCTCCGTTTCAGAAATAGTGTGTAATTTATCATCACAGTCAGGGGTTATTTTTCTTTTGCTTTGTGAATGAAACCTTTTACTATTTCCACAGTAAACCCACAGTTGCTGACAATGTACTTTTAGCTAACCCTTTTTTATGTAAAATGATGGCATAAAGCTTTTTTTTCAGGGAAAGAAATGCAAATTCTCCTGACATATTTCATATAAAGCAATGGAAGGATAATCTGTGTTAATGCTTACTTGATAAAAAAGAGTGAGCTTGTGCTATATTTTGTCTGATCTGACAAATAAGCCTGTGTTACCGTAAAGTACAACACTCTCCCTGCTGGTATTGACTATATACTGTACAGGCTATATGGTACCAGCTCATTTATCCAACTCCCAGTATTGACACTGCATTATATGGTTGTTGACACTTGTAAATCCATTATATGAATGTTATTAACAGCGTATGTGATGGTCCATCAAAGTATGATTGACAAATTACCCGCAGTAAACCGCCAACGAGAAAGCTAACTGTGTGGGAAGATGTCCATTTAGAGTGCTGATTTATGTAATATGACAGGGATGCTTTGATAGGGCTATTTCTGCCTTATCACCCATTATGCTTCCCTACAGCTCATAAAGACATATGTCACCACGTGAAAGCTTTGTAGGTCACATTCTGAAGAGACGGTGAGCGTGCTAGCTAGTCAGTTACCACTGCTGGCCTTTGCCTTCCGTGATAAATTACATTTATGAAAGCTGCAATTACCTGATTACCTCGCTGCTCTGGTTCCCACTCACTAGCAGGATTCATCACGGCCCTATAATTTCATTCAAATTACCCATGAACCTTAGTCCATAGTGTCAACACTAAATGCCATTGTGACCCTCTTGAGTGTAAGTAATGTCCTCTGCGGTCAGCACAGTAGAAAGTGAAATAATAAGCTGTTCGTGAAATGAACATCAGTGGATAATAGAGTGAGACAGGCAGATATTAGAGGTATAAACATGCTGGGAAGTGACATCCCTATCACTCAGGACTCAGTGGAGGATATGAAAGGTGTGGTGGAGATGCCAGTGTGTTTTGGGATTGGCATGTTGCAAGACAATAGGTCTATTTGTTCTTCCAGAAATTAATAACTAGGTTACAAACAAAAGCAAACATGATTCCAATCAAAAAGTTTCAAGGCGCCTGAAATGCTTTGATTGGAATCAAGGCTGGATTTAAGATCTTCACCGTGCCCTTATCCTCTTAGAATTAAAAAAAATAAGTGGAATATAGAAATGTAGGCCAACTGTGGGAATTACTTTATTAGTTGCCTTACAGACCTTAAACTCAAGGAGGCCTTGTGTCCCCCCCAGGTTGGGAACAACTGCCCTGGGTTATTCTCACCATGAGCCTCACAGGAAGCTTGCAGCAGATGATTTTTCTCCGTTCCTCCCTTTAGCCAGACAAATTGACCTCCCCAGACCTCCCAATACAAACGCTGCTGTGTCCTCAGACCAGCTTCACCCTGAGGATTCACAAAACAAATGCACCGCTGGGCTGGTATGGGCCCTCCTATGGTCCGCCATCTCTCGCTCGGCATGGAGGCGGTACTTCTGTTTCTGCTTTCACACACCAACTCAAATACAGAGCTATGGAATTTTTTTTATATAGCGCTTAAACTCTTACATGGCACATCAAAGGTGATCCAACTAAGTTTTCCATCTCCAGGAGGTAACTCTCCCCTCGCAACGTGAAAGTTGTAGCGAGCATGAGGTTGATTTCCTCACGCATTCATAAATTCATTAGTCTAAACTTTTTTTCTGTGTATCAGTGACAATAAGCCTCATTAACTCCTTTTTTCCTGCTTTATATTAGCTAATTAGCTCAGGGGTGGCCACAAATTAATTACCATCTTCTACAGCCTCATGCAATTGCATTGTGTTTATTTAGTCGCTCCTATTAACTTTTAATCTTTTCCTACTCGTAAAAACAGGCAATTAACATTTTTTTATAAACAAAAATGATGCTAGCTCAGGGATAATCAGCAGCTCTGCATGATGTCGCCCTGACAAAATTACCCTGTCAGCTCATTTGACCCTCGAACTATCCTCAGTCCAAAATGGCTTGTGTGTAGTTGAAGAGCAGCGTGACAAAAGTGTGACCTTTTTTGTTCTTTTCTTTTTCTCTAGCACATTTTTCCCTTGCACATGAAGCAGTTTTGTTTGGAGCTGTTAGATGCCAATCACTTTATTTTAGAAAATGTTGACATCCTTTCTTCCTTTTTTACGGATGAGAGTCACAATCCAGTAAAATGACAGCAGATCATTGAGCGCAGAGAAGTCTTCAATTTCCCCTCAGTGTATTTCAATAAACCAACACAATGGCTGCTTCATTAGCCCATTGATTCATTAATGTGGCCATCATTCTTCCTCATATTCACAGAGCGCAAACACGCGATGATACAAAAGGTAACAGTAATGATAACTCCAGCCACGGTCGAATTCCTGTTAAGGCACCAGGCGGCTATCGGCTTTGATAAAGAGGCCCATTTATACGCTGTCTCCTACCACGAGGTCATCCTTCTCCATATTCCGTGTATTGACCCGGGTTGTTCCTTTTATTATAAGCAGGTTTTTTATTGAAGGATGATTACATTGAATGATGTCAAGCGAGGGGAGAAAAGATCGACCAGAATAATGACGTTCCGGAGGGGGAGAGAACGATGGGGATGGGCGGAGGGGTCGATGGCTGCACTTGCCCTGTCTTTTTGTGCGGCCTCACAAATTGAGTCGCATCCTTGCTCATCCATTATTTAAGGCCGATCGGACTCTCTTGGCAAGTATGGATTTGATAATCATTCCCATGTCCATATTAAATATGTGACATAAATATCACAGTAGGGGCCTGTCAATAAGAGAGCAGCAGTGTGAAACTGGGGCGTAAAAGAGAAACTAATATATGGATATGAGGCAGAGAGGAGATGAGAGGCTTGTGTGGATGTTTTCCTGCTTCTGACACGATGGGAGCTGTTACAGATATTGCAATTGTACTACGCAACTACAAGTCATCCTGCACCTTGAAGCAGGGCATGCTTATGAACACCTGCATTCAGTTTTTCCTTGCACATAAAAGAAACCTCTAAAAAAGTATTGCAAAAATAAGCTCTTACAGTGATTTAACTAATTGTATCCATTGTAGTTAATGGCTCAATACTATGATATTCACGTCAGTATATTCCTGAAATGTTCTGAAACATTTCCTACATGGGTTTGTGTAGAAATAAGAACTGGGATCAATACTAAGGGAAATCTGTACTGCCAACTTCCCACCCAAGGAACATTTTTGGAAATTGTCAATGATGTACTGTTGTCTAAAATGACAGAAGCATTACGTAAGTACCTATAGGGTTGTGTATGTCTCAAAAAAGGCACTTTCACTTCAGTGAGAAAACCAATCACAAGACTCTGCTTATGACTATCTGAATCCCTTCTTTATGGTTTAGCCAATGCCATGGCCTCGCAAACCTTTTGAACATTAAATACATCTCAAAACCATTAACAAAAACAGTCCTCAACCGCCATGTTTCTGCAAATAATAAGAGACATATTCTGCCATGTACATCCAGCCCTTCCAACAACATGCCATAGCATGTGTCAAAAGGAACAAGACAAAAATGTCCCTGAATGTATCGCATGTTTGAAAAGTCAACATCTTGGGACCTTAAAGGTTATCCCTGCAATTTAAACAAAAGGTTGTTTTTCGTAATTTTGCCAAAAGTGCACTTTCCTGCCCTTTCATTTGGCTTTTGCCTGTTTACAGGTCTTTAAGTATGTTGTTTTTTTATTTGACGTATTTTGCTACTCTAGTTAAGCATTCCCATTAATCATCAAAAGAGTTTCTTGTATGTGTAGGTACAATGCCAGAATGTGCTTCGGAGTACAACATCAATCGACAACAAGAGCAACAAAACAGACATTTATTCATATGAAAATGTGTCTGTGCGGGCAAAGGAGCATGCAGTGCGCAAGCGGAAAAAGACGGTGTCGGGTTGTAAGTCACCACATAAATAAGGTGGCGAGAGGGTTGATAACAAGAACCAGCATCTGCCAGGCAGTATGTCTCCTCTCTCCACGGTGGACTCTTTGTCTCCCGTGATTTTCTCCAGCTGCTGGCCATGAATACTGGCCTATGCACTCTAGATTAAAGAACAACACATGTTTCTCTGCAGGCTAGGCTGTATATCATCCCCTGATAACACAATGACAAACGCTCCTACATATTGTCCCGGAGCAAAGACGGAATGCGGACAAAACGTTGTTTGAAAATGAGATATCTGTTACTCAGCAGTTAGACTTACTCTCCAAAGCGCCATCTTGTTAAATGTATGCTGATATCAATATATTCTATCTGAAGTGTGCCATTATTTTCATCTTACATTATCATAATTTTGCATGTCTGTCAAGCTTACACTTCTAACTCAAACCTACTTGGGTTGCTACCACAACGAGGTGTCCACATTTTTGTCTAACCACTTTTCTTCAGCATCGGCAGACAAGAACAAAACTTTCTCTGGTTTTATGACAAGATTGAACAACTCCTCTTCCATTTACCTGCTCCCAATTGGTCGTCATGGTTGACCCACACCCATTGGTTTATATGTGTCTTGATACAAAGCATATTGCATTTTACAAGTGTCTTAGCTTAGCCAGTTTCTTGGTTGGGATTTGTTTTCCTCAAACGTAAAGTAGACATGATGACAGTAAGGGTGAAGTGAAGTCTTAGCTTTTGCAAGGCTCCCTCTTTTGTGCTTACATTAGACCTCTTGAGGATGACAGTGATTCAGTGCTGCTCAGTGAACAGGATGCTCCGTCATCCCTTTCTGTCTGAGTAGCCCTGTGTGTTGTTTTCCCACCTTCAAACGGTGAGGAAGTAACCCATTGTCATGTTAAAGCTGCAAAAGGTCAGTTTTGGTATTTTCCTATGGTGAAGTTAGCATCAATGACTTGACACAGCTTGTTTAACCTTTAAGAAAGGTAATATCATACCATTTACCTCTACCTATAAAGTTAAATTAGGGTTAGGTTTATCTTGTGAACCCTTTACCCAACAAGAAGTGAGAAAGAAATCAAAAAATATTTTCATCATCCTAATGCTTTCACATTAAAATGAACATCTAGATATTGTAAGCTAACACTTTCAACCATGGACATCCATTGTTTCCATTGGGGGCCTCCAATGTTGAACTTGTTTTTCTTTGTTTATTTTTGTCAAATGATGTCATTCTGTAAAGCCCACAGTCATTTCTCAATTATGAAGCTGGAAACTATCACTGTTAGGACATGTATTTACCCTTGCAGTGGAGACGTCTATTCATACTCCACTTTATTTGTCTTTGCAATAGTACGTGGCATAAAAATGCATTCAACAAAACATTTCTCTCCCTGCCAATACACATTACAGAAATATAATAGTCTTGTTAATTCATAAAACACATATCTGAGCACACAACATTTGCTTCAGTTAAGTTGGTGAGCTCCAGTGTGACAAGCTACAGATGGCTTGTGTTTCAACTGTTTTGCATTCAATCATGACAAGAGCAAGAGCTGATCTTTTTATCATGACAATTTATGTCATGTCTCTTTGTTAGTCGGAACAGAAGGCATTCTGCCCCTTAACATTGCAGCAACTTCCGTGTACTGTATTACATGCCCGATCAACTAATTTAAAGATTATGCATTTGATTAGAGTAATTTGCCTCGACTAGCGTTCATTCTTCACGTCAAGCTCTGACAGCTTTGTCTACTTACTTATTTACTGAAGGAGTAAAACATCTATAGTTGTTTTGCCATGGAAACACAGAGCAATGCTGTCCTACATGTATTTATACTACCATTATCACATAGAATATTAAGAGTAATATTGTTGTTCTTAAATGAAAAGCGTAATAGTTTTAGACTGAAATTTCCACATGAAAAGAAAAACAGACGATTCTCTTCAGAAAGCCACATCCTTTGTTTTAATGAGAGTACCCACTGTCATTGTTGCATCAGGATAGAGGTAAGTATCAGTGGAGCAGGGAAAACAAATTCAATAATAATTAACTTGGGTCATCTACTCATCTGCTATGGCTCATAAACCTTGGAGAAAATTTCCCCCAGAACTTTTGCAAAGCCTTTAAGTTCCCTGCATGCCTGCAAGAGATGTTTTGCACAAACCAAGCTCCAGATTTTCAGCCAACTTTGTCGACGCCACAATCTGCGATACATAATATCTTACTCTTCTGAATGCATACAAGCGGATCTCAACAATGTAACCCTTATGATCTGATGTTTGATCTACCAGAGACCCTGGACCTTCTTTGATAGCTGCAAAAATATACTTAGCATTGTTTTTGTCCCATTAATGAATCTTTCACATTTTATAGACTTGTCTATCACATGTTTTTGAACTATGCTCATTACCTTAGTCTGTGCTAGCAACAGCTGATATATCTACTTGCTATGTTAACTAGTTTGCGGAGTAGCAAGCAGTAAGTAAGCATATCTGAGTCAAGACTTCCTCTTCAGTGAGCCGGTAATTGTTCAATTAGTAAATTGAGATGCGAGAATCGAGTTGGAGTTGAGAAGTGAAGTCTACAATTGGATTGTTTCATGTTTTTAAGCAAATAAATGTTTTTAAATGTAAAAGGCAATCAAACGATATATAGTGGTCAGACAATGGCTGACGGGTTCCCAGGATGCATTCTAGCAAATGGGTTATTTTTTGCCAATAGGACGGTTTACCTGCAAGCAACCAAAGACCTATGGAGATGGATTTGTCTCAATGCTATTTGAGATAACAGGTCATGAATGTGTGTGCTGATCTGTAATCTGAGAATTTAGAATCTGAAACACTCCCTAGAAAGGCAAACAAAGGTTTACTAATCTACCTACGGAAAGGCAACTCAAACGAAATTGGTCAAAACTACTCGGATCACAGACGAATACCAGAACCAAAATCATTCATAATATGTAGATATCTCTGATAAGGTCCCAGAAATTCAAGCTTTAAAATATGGTTTTATACAATTAATGTAGGGTGTTGACAGTGTTTTTCTTGCAGCACTACTCCTTGCAAATTCCAAAAAGGTCTATTTGTATTTCCGTTGTATACAGTAATACATATACTTGTTATAGAAGTGTATCCATAAGAGTAGAAGGAAAGTTGACTGCAGAAGTAATTAATGTCACTTTGTCGATACTATAATGCACATGTACCTGTCCATGGATGACTTTTAAACCATCAAGGAATGAAAACCTGTATTATAGGATTGTCTGACCAATGAGGAAATTAAGCTAATCTCTGCAAAACATGGGGTACAAAATACAGGTTTTGCACATTCACAAAACCAAGAACCAAAAAACAAGTTTACTCTTGGACATTCATATAACAAAAACACTTGAATGTGTTTTGCCATGATACAATGTAATTATTGGTATGTAACATAGAACAAAAAACAGCAGAGAGGTGAAGAGAGTTAAGTGTTTCTCTCCGGTCACTCATTCTCGTCGGCTACATTTGGCGCTTGAAAACCACTTTCTCCTCTTTACATTTCTTCCACTATCTTTTACACTCCCCCAGACAAAGTGTGGCCCCCTTCAGTGTGCCAGCTCTGTTGCTGTGTGTCGTATGAGCTGCTCTCTATGCCGGCTGTCAGCTGGCTGTAGAGCTAATATCAGGGCTGCCTCTCTGGCTGGCAGACCCAATCAGACTCTGGAAGCTGGGCTGATTGGACTGACATACTCCATCAAACCCAGCATCAAAGCGCCTCTGACCATACACTGGGGTCTTACTGATTCGGACATCACGGAGTAGGCCGCTGCAGGCTTTTTAAAACAATCCTAATATAGATCACAGAGGTTTCTTTTCTCTCTGCCTCTCCCTGTAGAATTTCAGGATTTTTAGATGCAATTTTTAGAGGAAGTCTCAGGTTATGTTTGCAGTGAAACGTGCACTTTTGTTGCAGAAAATGTATTATAAAGGTTTGAATGATATCCTTTTGTGTCTCTGTAATAGGGTTAGGGTTTGTAGTCTTGTGTACCGTGTTGTATTTAATATCAAAGCATCTGGCATCAAGACTGTCCCGCTTTGAACTGCTTTTAATCCGAGCATACCACACTTCCCAAATAAAACTGTGACGAGTTTGGCATAATTAAGTATTTCATATAATTGGCTTGACTTTAATCATCTTTAATCACCCAAATATATTCTAAAATTGAAATGTTTATGAGAACACTGGATTTTTGTGGGAATGGTCCCAACCCAGGAAACCTTGGACAAACATGTTGAACCTTCTAATTATCGAGTAAAGTTAAGGAAGTACACTCTGCATATGTACGTTAGTGCTTCATTCACTTCCAACTGGAAGGAGAGGATAAATGTTGTGTGAATTAGTCCGACGGTGCACATGGAGCTTTACTATGCCAACAACATTGTGAGTGTCTTTTCAGAAAGAACTTAAAAGGCTCTCCCAATCATCAGAAGGCCTTGCTGCTTCTTTTCCAAATTCCTAATAACAATTGCTTTGTTGGAAAAATACAATTTTAGTACTGAAAAGCTGGCTATTACTGACACCGTAATGGAGCATTTGTAAATGATTTAATCGCCTGACGAGCAATGGCGCCAATCATACACTGTCCTCTTCAAGGCTGAAGAGGTATGCCAATCATCGTGCCATTGTTTCCAAAATGACAACATTATGGATTAAAATGCACAAGTGCTGCTTAGACAACGTTTACCTCTGACTCTGCATCCGTTGCGTGGCAATTTAAAACCTGGGGGGGTCCGACTCGGAAAATGGTGGCGAGAAGCATTGGGTCCGCTTTACAGGGCTGGAGCCTAGAAACGCATCACACTGTCCTCTGCCACCACAGGGGGGGATGTCAGCACCACTAACCCCCGACAACATGACACCCACAGACACATGTAATTAGTCTTTATGCCATATTCAACAATAAGGTTTGACAGTCAATGCAAGGGTGTTCATTGACTGGCATTGTCTAGTGGAGCAGAGGCAGATGGGATATAATAATAATAATAATAATAATAGCTACAATGGTGCTTAATGGTACAATAGGCACAACAACATCATTACATGAATGGAAACCTGTAAAAATACACTTAAGGAAGTTATTTAAAAGATGACCCACTGATTGCAATGAAGGAATTGTCTCTTTCTTTTATATTAATCCCAGATAAAAAGGTGCCATGATGACCTGCAGCATTGCTTTTTTACTCAAAGTACGTGTGGAACTGAAAGGGGCCAAGAACGCAATTATTTTTTTTCATTCCTCCTAGTTGCAATGGATCCACTGAAGGCGGGGTTGAATTAATGATACATTTATTCATTATCATTTTAATATAGCCACAGTGCACAATCAGCTGCAATACAATGTGAGACAGAGCCAGGAAAACAAATTAACGGAAAGCCTAAGGAATATTTTTTACCCTCTATTCTGCATCCTCGTGGCATATGGCTACCTATTTGCGACAAGAGTTCATTTGCAGATATATAAAGAAATCAGCGCCGGGACAAATACAATTATGTAATAAAACTCAACCGAGAAGAAATATTGCCAGCGAAACATATGGCACTGTCAAAAATTATCACTTGAGACGCTAAACACAAAATACTGGCAAGTACAATTTCAACACGTTCCATCCTAAATGAATTAATTCACTTCATTATAGAGCAGAAAGGTAGGAGTTATAATCGCCTCAATTAGAACGACGCCATAAAGCGAAGATAATGTATATGTAATTTCTTTTAATTTAGCTGCCATCTGTTTGTTGCAATTGAACGCACTGTAATATTTAGCTTTTCATTAGTTTGTTTTTCTCGCAGCGAGACAGATCATTGTGTATGAGCATAAGACTGTTTGAGTACAATAGAGCCAGGATGACTGATTCCGTTTGATAATGGAGTGTAAGTGCTCTATTCATAATGAACAGCTACTTTAAAAAGTATGTGTGAGGATGCTTTTCACAAGAGAAGGAAGCTATCAGACATTTTAAGGTAAACGACATGTAAGTTATCCATGCCCAGTAAAGGTATATAAAGGAAAAACAGTTACTGTATACAGCCGCAATAATACACAGAAGGCCTTTCATCTGGTTTGAGTACTTAAACCTAGAGAAAGCAGAAAGCTGACAGACATTTTTAATTAGTTTACATACTTTCTGTTACTTATCCATGCCCAGTAAAGGTATATAAAGGGAAAACAGTTACTGTATTCTGCGGAATAAATACCACAGAACGCCTTGCATTTGGTTTGACTACTAAAAGTCTCTCAATAGTTCTCCAGAAGCCTCTCAAGCATATGTCTCCTCATCTGCTTATCTTGGCAAACACTTGGCTTTGGAGGAGAGTAGACTCCTCTCCCTGATGGCCTCGCAAGGCCCCACCGCCTGGCTCGGCTGCTTCACAGAGAGCGAGCGCTTTCCCCCAACATGCCATATGGGAGCCATAGCGCTTTTCTTTATCATCTCTTATTTTATGCCTACTGGTTGTGTGGCTGCCTTTTGTTGTTCAGGAATAATCAAATGTTGATAGCATAGTTCAAATGGACCATTAAGTATGTGAGAATGCTCTATGGAGATGGAGCAGATAAGGGACCAGGAGCCAGGCAGTCTGCCACGTTCAATAGCCAGCCTAGTGGTGGTGCTAATTTGATTATAATATAGTCATCTCCGAAGATTAGAGCTATTCAATTAAATATTCTAATTAACCTGAAGTATTAGGCAAATGATGCTAATTACAAATATCCTCAAGAGAGCCGGCTGGATGAAAGGCTCAGCTCGCGAATGATACTTCAGACCACTGTCTCGTAACAAGATGTCCTATATCATAGACCCGGCGAATATTAAATTCCTTGCTAATTTGCCTCAGCCCCATTTGTTTAATGGCATTTGCATTTTGTTTGAAATTGTAATAAACATGTGTACCCGGCTCTTAACTTCACAGAGAAAGTGCACTCTTGGGGTAGCTTAGTATTTCTGTTTACACAGCTCCCCGGAACATTTTCTCTCTCTCGCTCACACATGCACACATAAACAAACACACACAAAGCCTGGCCCATTAAACTCAAAGTGCCTGTACTGACTGCAACGTAGCAGCATTATTTCCAGGTCCGTGCACAACATGAGATCAATTTTTCAAAAGAGGGTGTATCTAATAATTAGGAATGTATTGATTTATAAATGGGTGTGTGTACAAATATTTTTAATTGACTTCATTAGCATAAGCCGTTGAGGCCATAAAAAGTGTGTGTGTGTTACCATACGACAAAACTGCATTCTCAATTACAATTCAGTTCTAAACACAAGGTAAATGTTGTTAATTGGAAAGAAACTAGCATACTTAATTATATTTAATAAAAGATCCATGTTTGGGTTAAAATGTTTATGATACACAAAGTATTATGTTAAAGGAGCATTTAATGCAAATTTTCAGGCTCATATTTGTATTGAAATGCTGCTTTATTTTTCTCATTCTGCCCTTTTCACCCTCTGTCTGAAACCAGAGCCCAGTTTGCTCTGATTGTTTAGCTGGCCGGCTCTGTTGTGATTGGTCATCCACTTACTCAAGCTACGTACGTAAGTAAAGTACATTAGGCATACGCTCACTATGCTACAACGTTGAAAATCCAATGTGTTTTTTTGTACCCATCAATCCGTTGACCTCTATAATCGACATTGATTAGAAATATATTATGTGATACGTAAAAAAAAGACGTAAAAATGACGAAAATGTGTTTCGTAACATTCCAAAACATAATGGACAATGCAGTTTGGTCATGTGGCAATGTATTTTCAGGACATTAGGTGTGTGCGCAGTTTTTTTTTAGTACTGAAACACTGTGTGTGTGTGTGTGTGTGTGTGTGTGTGTGTGTGTGTGTGTGTTTGTGTGTGTGCGTGTGAGAGCCTTGCAAAGATGCAAGAAATAATTCATTGAGGTAGCAGCCAGCTCGGACCAGAAAAAAAAACGGCTTTGTCTAAAATCATGAAATCATCATATTTGACAAAGGTTAGAGGGAAAGCAAAGCTATCATGGTAGAGAAACATGTAGGTGCCTTCAGTGATTACTTTATATTCATAGTTTTTCTACTCCAAGGTCCTGAATATGTCATGTGCATAATGCCGGCCCTCAGTGTGGCATTATAGTCACTCTGAGCAACGTGTTTCAATAAGGCAATTTTCTCACTGCCTAAGAACATCAGTGGGGCGCCATTCTCAACAAAGACAGAGTATGACATGTTATCCAAGCATACATCAGCAGGACAGAACTATACTTTATTAAAGGAAAATAGGATTTCACAAATGTTTTGACAAACGGCGGCTGGAGGAGGGGTAGCAGGGGACGCAGGGTGGAAGGGGAGTGTTGGGGGGAGCAAAATTGAAGGCAACAAAATTGATTCATGGATTGTGAGCAAGGTTCATGAGAAGGGTTAGGTAAAGAAAAGTGGGAAATGCAACTCATGAGTATCAAATACCTGGAGGTTGTAAAAGCCACCATGACAGTTTTTACTTTGATTGTTTGTCTCATCTTTGCCACACAAATCACAGCGTGATAGAGGCTTTGGGAGTGGGAGGAAAGGGATGAGATCAGCCCCTTAGTTGTATCCAAGCAACCATACACACAATGAATCATGTGATTACACATTAATTACAATGAATCGATGATGGAAAAGACCACAAACTGTGGTTGTTATTAGCTGAAATGTGCCAGTTACCTCGCCTGAAGATGAACTAAGTTCTATTAAATGGTCTGCATTTGTACATGATACAAATGAACCTAATCCTTAAATATACAATTAATTCCTTGCTTCAAATATGATATTTTTTCTTTTACATTCATACTCCTCTTTATCTAAAAGGCAAACATAATTTTTTTTCCATATATTTTTACAACATGAATTTGACCACTTAAATTGTCAGATTAAGTTTTGACCTAGAATAAACACATAGAATAAGTTTATACAATACAACACATTGTAAATGCAGCTGTGATGATATATATATATTTTCCTATTATTCTGCTTTTTTCGGATTTTACTGGTCTCAAGGGGTTTTATGTAGAAATCATTTACAGTGAAAAACTGCAAAAACTAGCTGGTAAAACTAGTGTGGCATTGAGCAGCCAAAAAGACAGATATTAACCGTGGGAGTTGGAGGAGACCAAAAACAGAGCTAAAAGAAAGAAATTATATAACATACATTAAACAGGGAGCCGGAAACACAACTCCAAATTAATTATGTCATTTGTTTGTAACTTGGATATAAATTAGCAACTGTTTGCTTTTTATAAGAAGGGTCTGCTATTCAGAGAAATATTCAATACTTTATGGATGAAAGAAGGTAAAAAAAAGAATTCAACTTTATACATTAGAACTTTGTTTTTGTGAT